TGGAGATTGGACCCGATAAACATGGGGAAATCATGGAAAATCGATCTGGTTAGTTAATTGAATCCACCTGGCAAACATGTATTAAACCAAAGATGAACATGTAAAAATGGATGAAAAATGGAACAAACCAACCACCACTGGCCAATATGAGTCTGGCTCGAAATGGTTCAAGAAAGGAGCATCAAAGGAACCATACATCTTTCCATTTTCTGAATGAACCATCCAATCTAGCGGTGTACAACTACTGTTGATCCAGAACTCCAAACTATCTGCACGCCGAATGTCGACTTCTCTGCAATGTGGGGCCTCCTGGATATCCGGGTATGTTTATAACTACGGTAACTACTTTTAAATACTTTTAAATATACGGATTTTAAAATATACGAACTTTTGACTACCTCCGTGAAGGTTTTCCTTGGCCCGCCCGGCCATTTAAACATACGGAATCCAATTCATTTAAACTTAAACATACGGTAACTACATTTAAATATGCGAACTGGTATTTTATACTACCTCCTGGGCCTCGTGGTCTGGCCCGCCCTCCACATATTTAAATGGCGTTACCATAGGATCACTGTGGTTTATGATAGATTGATATATAGCGAATTATTAATGATATATAACTTATATAACTCTTCTTGACAATCAATAACTATATTACCAATAACGCCAATAACTATATTACAAACTTGTTGGTTTATGATCCCCTTATGGGTGGATTACTTCATGGCACCCTGCATCCATCTGCATCCTGCATCGCCTCGGAAGTTATGGACTGCGAGACCTGGAAAGTCACTGATGCTTCGGAAATTTCTCCGGGGAAATGGATGGAAAGGTGAATCTACCCTCTGGTAAACATACAAAAAGCTATTGAAAATGGTGATTTATAGTGGATTTACCCATGAAACATGGTGATTTTCCATAGTTATGTGGCTGTTTACCAGAGGGTAACCATCAAAACTGCTGTAAATTCTACAGAGTCCAAAGTGGAAATGACATGAATTGACCATCAACATCCATCAACCATTCCCAATTTCGAATAATTCGTGACATTTGATGATCAACTATGTAATACAGTATATATTAATGTATTATAATATTCCCAAGAACATCGAAGAACCCCAATATAGTGGAATGATGTGGAATGATGTGGAATGATGTGGAATGATGTGGAATGTCATGTGGATGCTTTCTGGTGCGACATCTCTCGTAGTCTTTTGGCGAGGCCCCCAGGGGTGGAAACAAATACCGTATCATACGGTCCGCATGTCATCCCAAAAGTAGATGATGCATGTCTCCTGCAAACAAGGAGTGATACAATATCTGGATGGTGGTATACCTACCCCTCTGAAAAATATGAAAGTCAGTTGGGATGATTCTTCCCAATATATGGAAAAATAAAAAATGTTCCAAACCACCGACCAGATATTGCTCTATCTGTTCAAATGCTATACGTGCACAGAGATGAATGTACCAGCATACAATGCTCTGGGCGTATTTCACATACCGACAACACATACAAACGAATCCACCATGCATCTCTATATGTACGTATCATAAACATACATATCATAGCTGTAGTTCAAGTCCATACAGTACGTATTTACACATGCATGTTACATGTGTGTGTGTGTCTATCACTAGCAGAAAAACTGCGATCCCTTCGGGTCCCTCCCACTGATCTTCCGTGTCCACACCTCGGAAGGAAGTCGCCGGCGGGCCTGCAGCCATGTCAGCGTTCCAACTGAAAATAAGCAATATTGTCCCTTAATATTAGCTCAATATATGTCAATATAAAATGTGGCCCAATATCGAATATACGGCCAACATTCAATCTTTTTTTCGGGGGCCGTTTCAAATTATTTGAAACAAATAAAATGAAAATCCTAACAGAACGGGAGGATATCAATAAAACAAACATCAAGCAAGCAATGAACATGGCTACAGAAATACATGCCACACTTGACGAACCAATGTTTGTGGCATAACCTGATAGAACGAGCAAAAATGACATCATCAACACTAAATCTGAATTTCATTTATACATATTATATTATATATATATGTATATATATATGTGTATATATATATGTGTATATATATATGTGTATATATATGCGTATATATATATATTTATTTATGTTTTATGTACATATCTATTATATATATATATATGTGTGTATATATATTCTAAAAAAGAGGCAGCATCAAACCAGTAATAATTCATTTGCAGGAAATCTTCTGCAATCAAATCGCCAAGGGGAACAGGGTTGCATGGAGGTATAAAACTGTTTCAGCTCATGGAAGAACAAAAAATACAATCCACCCACGCGTGGGCCAAAATCAGAAAAGCCTGCGTGTGAGTGGAAAAAATTGTCTCCAAATCAAGTGTTTTGAAATATGAGCTGATGATGCGTTATTGATTGGATGAAATTGCAGTTGACCACATTTGTCTGATCACGCCATCATTCTTGAATATGTAGAATGTGCATGCCGTTGGGCCTATTTAACCCAACAACCCCTAGGGCGTTCAGCTGCCTACTAGTAGGCAAACAAAATCCAAGAATTGCAGGGCTTTAGTGTGACACCAAAAATCTTGGTTTAAATTCGTGAAGCCTGCGAATTGTAGTGTGTTACCACCCGAAAATCCAACACATTTTTCTTGGAAATGTGCAGGCTCCACCTTGGAGCCGGTCGCTTTGGCGTGTTTGGCCACGTTGCCCTCTGTCCTGAAGAAAACCCACAACCAAACAGCAGCAAGGCTAAGGATCATCCCTTTTGTCATGTGACACAAAAAAATGATGGACCTGGGGTTGGTGGCTGAGCCACGCCTCTGATACAGACTCGTGATCGCCATCAAACTTTTCAAGGAAAATAGAACAACATATATCTGAGACCTGTAGTAATGGGAATTCCAGGATCCTAAAATGGAGGTACGTTAGTACCATATTTCAGGCCATATTTTGTGGCGATATCCCCTTACATAGGCCTAAAAAAATGGTAGGTACCTCCAATAAATCGGTTCCTGAAGATCTCCCATTGATGTAGCCTGCTATGTCCCCATGGAGTTCCATGGCATTCCATGGCATGCGGACCCCCGGACCCTGAGGACGCCGCAGGAGAGAAGGAGAGCTTTGTGAATGACCAAGTCCTCTGGCTTGGAAAGAGATTGTCTGAGTAATACCCTCTGGTAATGAAATTCAACGGCTTGCCATGGAAAATGGATGACAAAGTCTCATCTATATTCATCTATAGATTTGATTTGTGATGATTTACCCCTTAGACATGGTGATTTTCCATAGCTATGGCAGCTATGCCAAATGAAACCAGAGGGTAAGTGCTATTTTGCTGGTGCTTGACCGTTTCATGGCCGGGTGCCTTTTGATGAGCCCGTCCTGTACGACCTGCTTTGGCTGCAGCCTGCAGGGAATCTGAGTCATTGGAACCGGCCAGCTCCAATGATCTACGGCTTCTGGCCTATAGATCATGATAGGTCTCTCAGAGGCTCTGAACTGTATGGCTTTTTCATGTTGCTTCCTGAAGCTGCAACTTTTTCCGCCGTGTGCCTTTAAATATTGCACCAAGTGAGTTGAGCATCAATGAGAAACATCAAGATTGTGAAGTTTTGTCGGGGCAGGGCTCTTTAGCAGTTGCTAGACCCAAGGGCAGTCTCCAACCCCCTTGGTAGTTAACTACTTTCAACCGTTACCACAGTCCCTTCGTGCTTGCGAAGCGGTTGTAAAATACTGCTCCCCCCCGATGGTCACCCCTGCCGCCAAGGCCTTGTCCAAGTGGGCTTTGGTCAACCTCCATGGTTTTTCAAGGTCATGTTGTCATGTTCATCTTTTATCTGTGACGAAGAACTGGTACAAGTTATGTGAAGATACCAACGCGGTTCAACCATCAAAACATTGGAGATTTAACTTGATTTAGCCATGAAAAAATTGGATGTTTAACATTGTTTAACCCTAGTAACCCTGGCCCAATATGCTCATCATAATGCCAGCATCATCAACATCTCTAGGGACCCGGACCCCATGTGAATCATCAAATAGTCCTCTTGGCTCTTCTTCTTGTACTCCCTCAGATGCCACGAAGATGTTGGGGGCGTTCAGGCTGGATATGGCTGGATCCATGAGGATGATCATATTCAGATCATATTCCACCAATCCGAGGTTACACGTTGAGTATAAATCCCATTACCCCAACTCTGTCCAGATGATCAAAGCTTGGGTTTTCAATGTCAAGTACCTCCATGTACCTTCCGAAAAACCTCCATGGATGGGTGAAATTCCAGCAATCTTGGCCAAAAGGTTAGACCTACAAAGAGTCGGAAAATCGAACCAGGAACATGTTTGCGTTGATAAGCACAAAGTTCTCCTACTGTAAGTCTTTGGGAAACATGTTTTTGTTAATTGCTTAGAGTAATTAACATGAACAGGCTTCCCAAATTCCAAATCCTCATATGTTTTCCTTGGGTTACAACGTGAAACGGAACACACGTTCTCGGGCATGAAACCCTCTGCAGAGCCACTTTTTTCTCTGCATAGAGCAAATCCAAAACGAGGCACAGATTCGGCGCCCCTCTGCGCAATTTTATCACAGCTGGGCGCTGGCCCCTCACAAGAGAAAAGGTCAAGACTTCATAGACCTACCAGTGCTCCCATCCTCTGCGTGTTTCTTGTTTTGTTTCATTGACAGTCACCGCTTCCAATCCTGTCCGCAGGGACGCCAGAAGCACTGCAATCTATCTTTCTGGCCAAATTGAGACTGCTCACTGCTCACTGCTCGCCAAGCTGGGACCAGCAGTTAAAACAAACAAATTCTGGCAGGGTTCCAAAGTTTGGACAGCCCCAACTAACGAAACATCATAAAAACAGGTTATCTGAAGTTATCTGTCTTATATAATCTAACATATATACATATATATATATCGATCTATTTTCTAATCTATCGCATTGTATCCACCTTTTCACCATCCTGGTGACCTGTTCCTACCATCATGGTTTGGGTTTCCATGCCGTCACTGCAACCAGGGCAGAGCTGCCGACACCAGCCACCAGGCCAAAGAACAGCAGGAAGTGACCAGCCCAGGCGCCCAAAAGCAAACCTGCTAGGATTTCCCGGGGATTGCTGGGGCAAATAAGGCTCTTTGTGCGGGCGACGGCCAAAAAGTCGGCTACAAAATCATTTCTTTCGGGGGGGGAAACAAAGGACCCAGCCCCATACATATGAGAAAAATGCGCGTGTCAATGCCCACAAGAATTCACAACTGGCTGATCCTTTCCAGTGTAAAGATCCTTTCCAGTGCAAAACGACAAAAACGTGTCAAAACTATGGTTTCGACCCGACAGACCACTTGACTCAAGGGATTTAGTCAGCACAGTTTGTTGGCAACTGCCACCAATCATATGTTTATATGCTGCAGTGCAAGCAGAAGGCGATTTGACATCACCCCATCACCCAACCAGTCATTGCATCGTGCCATTGAGGAAGAAAGCACACAACATGATCTGCACAACACATGTTCGCCCCAACCCGGACGTTGCTCCACACTTACAATCGTCATGATCATGATCATGATCATGATCATCGTCATCGTCATCATCATCATCATCGTCGTCACCACCACATCATCACACCATGGTCATCATCACATTGAAATTTGCAACCTCCTTTGAACAATAGGTTGACTGGGGTGATAACATCAACTTTATCTTCACAGCCACCTGAAGTCAGACGCGGCGCAACGTCAGGGTTGCAGCACACATGTTTCAACATTTTTCCCGGCATACATACCTGGATAAACCAACAAACATTGTGACTAGGGGGTGTCACATGAGGTCTCCCAGCCTCCTACAATACCAGAGTCAAGGTTACATCCAGGGAAGGTGGAAACTGTTTGAAACTGCCAGCCAGTTAGATCCGTTATGTTTGCCATTTGCGCTGGTGATATGTCTATGTTTTGAATGTTAAACCACCAATTTGGTCAGTCAGTGTCTGTCAGTGCCAAGTGACGTTCGCCCCTCTTGCTGGCCACCCGGATGTAGAACATTGCTGGGAAACAGAAAGTCACAAGGCCACCGCAAAAACCACCCGTGAGACCAAAGACCACCGACAAATCTGGCAAAACGATTCCTGGCGGTGTCCCCCAAAAAAACAAGGCAAATAGACCGATAGATGATAGATATAATGTGCAAGATTAAAATACGCGTATGGTCTTTGAATAGTACAGTAATTACTGTATACGTATGCAAATGTATGCGTGTATATATATATAGTATGTAAATCTATCTGTATGCATATATAAATACATATATATACACATATATACATATATATATATATCATACGTACACACACATACATATATACATAAACACATAATTATATGCGTGAATATAAACATATATAAAAATATATGTGTAAATAATTGTAAATATATGTGTAAATTAAAGGTATGAATAAGTGGCGTGTTAAGAACAAGAATGAGCCGATTTGTATGGGAACATGAAAGGAACAAACAAGACATATACGGAAAAATAAACAAGTGAATCTCATGAACCAGACTCCAAGCAGAATGGTGCTGCAAACCAGAAACACCACCCACAAGAGCCGTGCAGCAGTCGTAGGGGCTGGAGGCGTCACGCGATGGGAGTCGCCATTTTCCCGCACAAAGTTTGGTGCTTCCTGGGCTAAAATTGAAAGGACATGCCGGACATGCTGACTTTTTTGACCGGCATGTAGCAAAATTGGTAACATCGACAAATATAATTACGCGCAAACACCCCGTTTCGCCCACGCCCTGCTTGACTTGGGACGATCAATAAAAGTAGTAGGGAAGATTTAAAATCGTCCCACCCCCGTTAAACTTTACATTCAACTGGGAAGATTCTGGGAAGATCAACAAAGGCATTAGGGAAATTTAGGGAATATAAAAGTCCCACCCCTTTTGGTTTTACATTCAATTGGGAAGATCAACAAAGGTAGTGATGATGGTGATGATGGTGATGATGATCATGATGATCATGATGATCATGTTTGATGATGATGATGATGATGATGGTGGTGGAACGAACCCGCACAGGTCCCTATGCTGTGTGTTCTAATCTAGAATCTAGAACATCAAATTAACTATAATACTAAAACATTCTATTGGTTACCACATTTTCAGCTCATACGAAGAAGGCGGACCAACAGGCGCGGGCAAAACGAGGTCTTTGGCCGTAGAATTACCATCAATTACCGGTAGAAGACGTTCTTCACATCGGGTTACAGTACTAATTAGCATCCTATCAATGGGAATTCCAGGATCCTAAAATGGAGGTACTGTACCATATAAGGCCATATTTTGTGGGGATATTCCCTTACATAGGCCTTATATAGGGCTTATATATGGTAGGTACCTCCAATTTAGGATCCTGGAATGGCCATTGATCCTAGATTGCTCCAACAAAAATGTCGACTTTCTGGCTGGAGTTTGCACCTTCCATCAGCTCTCATCCAATGCAATCGCACACGCACACACACAAATATACACATGTGTTCAAACAAAGGCAAGTGAATTACCACCATCCAGAGTATAATTTGATTCCTCGGAAACGATAGTCGTCATATTGTTTTCTTCTCAAAATTCATCATCCCCAAGTTCAGCCAGAGATCGAAGACAGAACTAAACGGATCTAAAAGGCAAAGGTTTCAACCAGTTACCCAAGCCTTTTTTCATTGCAAGCCATTGCCATGTCGGTTCTTGGCTTCGCCGCCGTGAACGAAGGAACGCTGATGAATAACGTAAGTGACATGAATAATAAATTCACTATGGAAAAATAGGGAGAAAAAAACATGTCAGTGTGGCCAACTCAGATACCACCAACTTAAATCAGGGTCTTCACTGGCATCCGTCCCAAGTGATCTGCCCCTCCCCATCTCGGAACAGTTTCTGCTTCATTTTAGACGCACACACACACACACATACGACAACCATTACTGGACACATTCCAAACCCGTCCCGGGGCTACTCACTGTGTCTTACTCTACCGGATTGCCCAAGATATCCCAAGATTCCTTCAAATGGTCTTCCCCGGGCAAGAGGTATGGCGTTGCAAAGATGGAGGGTGACATCGGCGACTGATCATCGTCCTTGTCCACCACAGGACTGCAGGCTTCGAATCGACGGTAGGCTCCGTCGTCCGGGTGCAGCATCGAGTACACCTGATCGCGTTGGAACGATGGCTTGGATGCACCATCCAGGCATTTAAACACCTCATCTTCAGGGACCCTAAAGTAAATAGATCATAATAGATCCAGTAAACCATCCGACATCACTCTGTGTATACCAAAACTGACCCTATCTGGCCGTGGTCACCAGGATAAATCTCATCAGCAAGTGACTGTGGTTGGTTTCCCACCCATCCACCTCCAAAGAAAAATCACGTGGGATAACCAATCAAGCATCCCAAGCAAAGGAAACAAATCTAAAAAATGGTCAAACCATGTCAAACCGCTTGAACGTCAAAGTCCTCAATCATTAAATCATCAAACTGTGGCTGTCAAAAATAAGGATACCATTATATATTCAAAAAACACAATTCACAGAGTGAACAAGATAAACCATCAAATCTGGGTAAATTATAATATTTCACTAACCTGAATTGTTGGGCCATTTTGGGATGATTCCCCTTACTAACTATGATTGTAGTGAGGTCGCAGTGAGGTCGTGATCAAATTTACCCAGATCAAATGTCTCACTACCCTCCAGCGACTGACTGGGAAATCCCTGAACTAAAATGTGCATTTCAATGGTAAAGTCCATCCAGCAGGCCATGTTGGGTTAACCAACCACAATAATTTACGAAAATAATGCAATATAGAATGGTTGGTTAAGCCATGAATTATTATGGGGAAATATTCCAATATACTCTAGAATAATACAAAATACTACTATTGGGAACCACAATAATGGAATAGACATAAATAGAGAATGTTCCCGTTCCATCCACGAGTTATTCATCAGTACTTCCTACCCTATCTTTCAAAAAAGTAATGTGATAATCCCAAGAATAAACCATCATCATTCAGTAGGCTAGGTTTGCTACTGATTACTACTGATTACTACTGATTACTACTGATTACTACTGATTACTACTGTACTATGGTCATAACCCAATAATAATAATCCCAACTATTCATCAGTATCCCCAATGAAGTCTATCATTGGGTGTACCCCGCCACGTCCGCCACGTCGAAACGCTACTCAAACAGCACCGCTCCTCCCATAGTAGGCGGTGAAGCGAGGCAACGCAGCTGAAACACATCACCTGCCGCTGCGGTCCATGACATAAGGTCTATACCAATGCCTGGGCCTATACGATATGGCAACACGTGCATAGCATGATAATGTATGATAGTTACTTATATAAATATGTGATAATATGAGTGTGTGTGTGTATGTAAATTAAGCGATAAAAATGAAAACAACTTGGTGTTTAAACTTTAAACCAACAAATATTCACGTATGCATGTACTGTAAGCATGCAGGTGTTCAAATAAATTATTATTACATATTATTACTATCAACGGTCGCCTCATTTAAGAGTTTTAGGACGTTTCGTTCATTGTGGCTGAAAAGAGAGTGAAAAACCCTGCAGCCAGGCTTCTGGATACGAAGTAAACATCACCAAGGAATATCCAGCTTTAACGTATGGAGCAGGCCAAAACTTTGCCATGTGTAGATTGGTGAGGATTTCAGCCGCAGTTCGGGCCCGGAAGGCCAAGTATCCGAACATACCAACCAGCAGGTATTCAACACCACAAAGGGCTGAGCTGAAATACATTGCAAACATCATCTTTTCCCGTTTCGAACGGAACTTGCTGTCAACGTCTTCATAGGTCTGCGCTCGCAACTCTCCTTGGGAAGCAGTGAGGGGCTGCTAAAGAACACAGCTTTGTGCTTCTGAATATCATCGTAAGTCATCTCATGCACGTGATCAAATTGTGATGCTCCAAAGGGCAGTCAACAAAATTGAGCAAGTAGAACGATACCTTCCAGTCACCCAACAAGATGGCCTGGAACGAGGTTTGCAAAATAAGACCCAGAATGCATGACCGAAGTAGGGAAGCAAACACTAGAAAATACACTGAAACCAATGTCGGTGTCAAGATCTTGGAGAATGGTGAATGGAGTGGGCCCCTCCACTGATACTAAAGGACTTGTGAGAAAGGAGAAAAGAATAAGATGCAGGAAGTCAAAAAGATGAGGAAACCAACTGAATGGTCAAGCTGGAAGGTTTGAAGGCATTGCTCGAAACAAGAAATTCCAAAAGACCTATCTTTTCCGACCATTCATTTCTGGTCACGAAGAACCTTCTTCCCCCATATTCCCCCTTCAGGCCCGAAGGGCACCAAGCTGCCGTAGAAGATCGGCACATTCATGTTGCAGGTGTATGCGAAAATCAGCACCGGAAGTTGTTCCATGAAACCCACTCGGCCGTGTGCCCAGTACTGCACTGGGCCATCCAGCGCTTCCGAAACATCGATGGTCTTGGTGCCAGCGACCACTAGGGCCACCGATAGCAGCAGGATCATCAAAATGCAAAGCAAGGAGGCATGGCGGAGGGCTCCCATGCCTTTGACGGTCAAGGCCCCTGGTGCGTGCAAGTTTGCAACCAATTTTCTCCCCATCAGCTTATTACCATCCATTTTCATACAGGTTGCATCATCGTATCGTCATTATCATTGGATACCTTTTGGATCCTTTTAGTATATCACTCAAATCTTGACAATCTGGGGAATGCACCTAAGAATCCGACCAAATCGATGCTGAAATATATGCTGGAGCGTTTGCCTAGCCCATGATCCCGGAGGATGTATGGTCCACCCTCAGCTACCGTGGCGAGGTTCTAGGCATGGAGCTCAAGGGCATCAACACCAACAGACCAGACAAGACCAGCACCAATGTTCGATCTTGAAGAATCTCTGGCGCATTCAAAAAACCCAGAAAGGATGGGACAATGTCGCCAATGATCATCACCTCAAAAGGCTGTCTTTTGACGCAAACAACGCATCGAAACTCGACTGGGCGGGGCGATCCTGCAAAAGACGTACAGTAATAACAAAACGCACCTGGAACCACCAATCAGTAAAGAGTGAATCAATACACGCTGCATGCAGCCCAAAAGAAAGGCGTTGAAATATGGTTGCAGCCAAGTCACATATGACACAAGCACTCCAAAGTTGTATAGTGCAATAGTGACATCAACCGTAATGCCAGCACGAGTACCGTACAGCACATTCGCCACTTCTGCGTATGACTTTTGTCGTGACTCTTCCATGGCAATCAGCAGCATCCAAACCTGGATTTGCTGAACATAGGGTAATTATCCCAGAATCCCACGGTTTTGCCATTTTGCCATCTTGTTTCCCATACCACAAAAAACACTGCATTGAATGGGCATTTTATCCGCACCCCGTTATCAAACACGCCCAGTTTATCCAGAAAGCCACTGTGGCAGCGGGTCAAACTTGGAGCAATACCCAGCAGTGGGGCTAGCTATGGCTAGCTGCTTGAGCACACCCCAAAACTTGTTTATCCTCTTGTAGCTTCCTTTAGCTACAGAAAATCAGTGTTTTTTTTTTGTTGTCAACTCAATGGGATTACCTAAAGGTCACAACCAACTAATCCCTTCTTCCTATTACTAAAACTCACCAAAATTTAAAAAAATAGGATTGGTGTGCACCTCCGTTTTTTCTGGTTGGGCACAATTGGATTCTTAATTGTGGTAATTGAGAATCAATAGGAGAACAGGATGGTGAAACAATGGGTTCAACCCCCTATTAATGAAAATAGATTGCCACCTGGAGGTTTTTTATTAGGGTCCCATCTCACAAGTTTTATTTATTATTAAGGTTTTCATTGGAATATTAGGGGAAAGCTTCGGAATCCAGTTTTTGGCAATATTCTATATAGATGTTTAAAAGGGATTTATATAATCAAATTTGAAATCGAGTTTTTTTTGTTATTATCCTTAAGGTTTCCATTGGAATATTAGGGGAAATCCGAAATCCAGTTTTTGGCAATACTTTATATAGATTGTTTAAAGGGATTTAATCAAAGTTGAAATCAAGTTTATTTTTATTATTAGGGTTTTCATCGGAATATTAGGGGCACCCTAAAACAAAATACCACCTATATAACAATGAGATAGATCACCGACGCACCGAGTTTACCATTTGGGGGGTGGGGGGGTTTTAGTAATAGGAGAGAGGATTAAATGGATTTACCGTTTTACCCTTTGGATCCCTTTGGATCCCTTTTGGATCCCTTTGGATCCCTTTGGATCCCTTTGGATCCCTTTGGATCCCTTTGGATCCCTTTGGATCCCTTTGGATCCCTTTGGATCCCTTTGGTATACCACGGCAAACAGTTAAATTATCCAAAAAGGTACCCTAGGGTAAGCTAACATCGATGTGGAAAATCCATGGGAAAACCTTAAGAACATAGTCTACGAATGGTTGTTTGATCACATCTATGTTAGAGCTTACCGGTAAATGTGTCACATCCCTGAGCACTTCTGGCAGCATTCCCCCCCGTCCGGTGAGAAAAATGCTTCCGCGTGGCGGTCATGCAGCAGAGGCCAGCAGTGAGGACCAACAAAGCCTTGGAGATTTTTATGCAGCAAAAGCGACCCAAAAGCATGTCATTAAATGTTATTAAGATATCATAGATCATCATAGATAATGATAGTCAATGATAATCATAGATCATCATAGATAATGATAGTCAATGATAATCATAGATCATCATAGATAATGATAGTCAATGATAATCATAGATCATCATAGATAATGATAGTCAATGATATATAATCATAGATAATCATAGATAATGATTCATGTATATATATATATACATCACATGTCTGGATTCTCCCCGGTCGTTTTTCAGCAGTGGAAAAGATGTTCAGATCCAGGAGGCTGTGCCAGGGATCAAGCCCATCCGCTCCATGGCATGGGGGAGTCCCAAGATGCCACCACCCATGATGGTGTTGGAAAGGTTGAAAATCCTGAAGTCACTGGCTGGCAGATGCTGGCAGTCCGACTGTCTAAAAGAGGAACTGCTAGGAAATGATGGAAAGATGATGGAAAGATATGGAAAGTGTGAGAATTCACAATGGATCAGTGAAACTACGAAAAGGCACGAGGTTTCCAAAATACAACAACGCTCGAGGTTTCCAATAGAAAACCCGGAGTCCTATCAGGTTCATGATGCGTGTGTGAGTAGAGCACCAACATGCACCAACCGTTGAAATTCGATGGATCCAAAACCCGTGTGGTTTTGATAACAATCCAAGGTGTCCAGTGGAAATGTTAGCCCCTGCGTTGCCTATCGTTTTTCTCGGGGAAGTGGAACCCGAAGACAAAGGCACTCAAAACAAGTGTTGGATTATCTTGGGTGGTGTCGGTTGGGCCAACAAGCAAACACGTGCATCACTTGATGGAGATGAATCATTCCAAATGGGCATGGAATTTTGAAAGATGTTGAAAATAGGACCCCGGAACTTGTTTGACCCATGTGTATCCTACGACTACTCTATATCCTACCAATGCAAGAGGGATTGCCCACCATGGCCCACCATCCATTGAAATGTTGGCAATGGATCCAATGGGATTCCCTACTGCCCGATGGATCTCCATCCGCCCCCATTCTCTGAAGGTCTGGACCGTTAGGTGCTTTCAACTTATCCCCATGTCCGGATATATTGATCGGGACCACAACCATCATCATCGAATTATCATCATCAGCATCGTCACCATTAGCATCGCCATCACCATTAGCATCACCATTAGCATCATCACCATCCCGTCACATGGCAATCTGAAAAAGGGGAAAATGATCAGCCAGCCACCCGGACCCGATTTTGACGGTTTTCCCCAGCAATCGACTTGACCCAAAATGGATGGTTTAAAGTCTATCATCCTACAAAATATGACTGAAGAAATATAGAAACATAGTCCAAAAATGGGCTATCAAACCCTGACTTCCCAGTGTATCTCAAGGCTGAAGAGATTGCAGCCAAGGAACGTCGCTCGAAGTCCAGTGCCCTGTGACGGCTTCCTAGGCGCACAATGACTGTCATCAATGTAAACCATTGTATATACGGTATATATATATATGTATGTATATATATATCCATGGCAATGTCCTATGTAAAATGTGTATGGCTGTATATGTTTAATACACACACATGTATATATATATATATATAATGTATACACACACATATATATATATAGGTATATAGGTATTATATGTGTGTGTCTATTATAAGAATATGCGTGCATAAGTATAGGTACAAGTTTTGTGTACAGCTCCGACCGTTTGCCCGGAGCCTACGCCGGTCGCACAAAATGCCTCTCTTTTTCAACGGACCCCGACGAAAGCTGTACTGGCGGAGTTTCATTCCGACATCATGTATATAAAATTATATAAACTCTATGAAAGAAATGAACAATTGTTCCATGGTGGGTGGGAGATGAAGAGATGTTAAGAGATGTTCCTTGGTAAATCCTAGGTATTTTAAGGATGTCGAAAAAATCTTGGGGGAAGCTCTGGATCTGCGTGCCTAGTGGCAGCAAGGATCCCAGCCCTTCAGGATGCGCAGTCAGTTGACGCCCAGCGGGCTTTGCCGAAACGAGGCGGATTTTTTCGTTGCCCATGGCGATGCCGGCTGAACCTTGGAAGTACCTTCTGATTGAGAGAAAAAGATTGGACAAATGAGGCTATGTGAATTTGATGTTGCATCATGTTACATCAGGCAATTGGTGAGTGGAACCTTTACATGAATGCCCGCAACTTGTGTCACCTGATGGGAATGAAACGATCAAATGATTAACTCTTCTGACAATGAGAACCGGCTGGTGGGATCAGTCCGTCCAAATCTGGAATCAAATTCCAGTTCATAGGTGTTAAGTATCATTTTAAACGTTTAGTTTTAAATGTTAAACCGGCCACAAACATCAGAGTATCCCCTGAGTCCCAGCCGACTCATAGTGAAACTCATCAAACCCATCCTTGAGCCATTGGCAAAGCAGTTGCAACCATCAAAGCCTTGAAGACAAGACAAGACAGGCAAGGATGTGGCACTGAGGCACACGGCTAACTTATGCATGTGGAGATTTCGTGGATCATTCGGAGATTTCAGCAGAATGGCACTATCCGATTGCCACATTGGGGCCGGTACCCCAGCAGGAGCAAACGCTCCTTCTGGTTGCGGATGCAGGCCGCCTGACCGAGCTTTGGGTTTTTGTTGGGTGTCCCCCACATGACCTCGACCCAAGATGGTTGTGAACGATGATCCCTCCAAAAGGCTGCCTGATGTGCAAATGGGACTGCAATCTGCCACCCTGAAAGGATACACGGTTGCAAAATTTGCCGCGATTGACTGGCGTAGAAGCCTAATGAGTGTCCGAATGTGTCCAGCTGAAACGGCTTGGCTTATATACATATAGTCTTACATTCTCTTCCAATCTCTATCTCTCTCTCTCTCTCTATCACATGTTTGATTTTCGTTGGGAGTTCACCTTGGGTGGCCTGTTGGCCAGGTCACTTCTCATACCTCTGACTTGAAGGACTTGAAGGGCCCCCAAGTTTAAGATAGTGCGCCAAATGTCTCAATATACCCCGTTCGCAGGCACCTCTGGAAATAGGGCGACTGCCACTCTGCCGAACTCACCGGGAAAAAATACAAAAGATCAGGGAGAGCCAAAACGCCGGCAGCAATTGCTTTTTGTCAACCTCCTCTTTTGGGTTTGGTTCAAGAAATGGGGTCCCAAATCAGAAGCAACAATCTTGGTCTTGTTTTTCGCTGGAACAACTGCACAGTTTACCCAACGAATATATAAATTTCCGATTTTCTGAAGATGTTTCCGAATGGACATGACTCCTTTCTGTCATCCCGTAGAAGCGGCATGAGAATGGCATGGGAACCAGTTGAAAGACGTGCCAAAAAAATACCAGGGGGCTGGCTGCAGCATCCGCGTCCGTGTCTGTAGAGTTGGAATCACAGGAGCCCAATGGACAGCACCCGTCTCCTTCATCATTTCGTCGATCACGCCCCAACTTGGGCATTGCTCTGCCATCTTCACCGGAAACTGCAGGGCGCAAGGGCAGATTGATTGGGATGCCACTGGCTGTTTCTGATTTCAAGACTGGTACTTTGAACATCTTTAAACCACCAACATCAAGGCTTCAGTGTAGAGCAAACTCCTCCAAATGGAGGAAAGCAATATTACTTACTCATCCAGAATTTCAGTTGGCAGTAGAAAATCCGCAATTTTTCAAGGACTATTCAGGATCATCCTCTTGAATTGAGAACCGTGAGTTCCTATTGCCATGTTTGCCTGCCTTAGGGCCTATAGGGTATAGCATCAGGTTGTAGTGTGCAAAATGGGGGCCTTTCTTCACAACTTTCAAACAAACCGTCATCAAGTTTGTAATCGTTCAGGTTCTTTACAGTACCCCGACAGCTTTTGATAATCCCAGCTACTTCACTATGCGGCTATGCATTTTAATGACACTCACAAGTAGGTCGGTCTCATCACTCTATTCATTGCTATTCTATCGTCGTGGTTACAACATGTTCCAAGCATGATTCAGCAATCAAGTGTTCCCACGAATACTCCAGAAGTGGCTCACTAGGGAAAAACACTGCACAGAGGGAAAAAAAACAAAAGTAGTCAACAGTCCGGTTTCCCAAAAATCAGCCCTGTGGCATTCTTATGACCATTTTCTTGGCAAAACCCCCCATCATAAACCATGATGAATTAAGCCTTATGCAACAACCAATTTTCCCCGCACATTCCTGTTGTCATATCACCATGTTTGTTAACTCCGCCCCATCTTATCAACCCATCCGGCGAAGTAGATCTCGCGCCGCGGGGGAGAAGCGACGAAGTGTCAGGTCTTAGCGGTTTGTGAAGCAACAGCTACTAGCCACATTCCCTCTTCAAGATAGGTCTTGACCAACACGTGACAGAAGGCCATAAGCATCATTCTATACAATTATATCAATATAAAGCACATCTCCCATCAAAAAATCGTGATGATATGATGATAACCGACCAGAAGGTTCAGCCCAGGGATACCAGGGTGCAAGCCCATGCAGTGGAATCTCATCCGCTCCAAAAACAGGGCGCCCTGCACCAGTGGAGTGGGCTGGTTGAATGGTTCTTCTTGTAGGAACACATTGTTTTATTACAATCCAACAAATTAAGATATCAAAAATGTCAGGGGGGGCCCTGCACATTTTCCATTCACACAGAAACGTATTCTTTTACAGTGCAGAGCTCACATGTATATAGACTAGACCATACTAGACCTCCAATCAAAATTGAAACGCAGAAAACTCAACAGCCCCACCCAACCCCTTCATTATCTTCATTTCAACCATAGCATTGAAACGCTTCATCTCCTGCACTCGGCCATGCCTGGCGGGCGGTAATCTCAGTGAGCTGTTCCGTGGCAGGGTCACAGTCCTTCACCTTTGAGCCTGGCCGGATGGATTCCTGGTGCCACCTGGGTGTCGACATGAAAGTCGTTGGGGAGAAAATCCTCACAACTTGGAGGGGAAAGAAATGATGAGTTTGAAATCGCCAAAGATCCAAAGCGAAAATTATTATCTGTGGGACTGATATTAGAGCCGTTTTGGAATGTGAAAACTGACACTGGACATTCGTATCGATGCAAGATGCAAGATCATGCACAAAATTCCACCAGCACATCTGACATTGGTTATGTATGGATATGTTATCAGAAGATCACTATGGTCTTTGTGGTCTTGAACTTTTTGCGAATCCTTGAATGTTCTGAGCAGTTCCTGCTTGATCTGCTCGGCACTGAGGTATCGTTATCCCGCTCTGTCAGGCTGATGTCTCAACGGCTGACTTGGGGTCCCCAATTTGCAGAAACACGTGCTGTTGGCAATGTACACATATGTACGCGTACAAACGCACACGCGCACGGCGCACTGTACATGCATTGGTACATGTTTACATATATTTAGATAATTGTATATATATATATACAGATATGTATACATATATATATAATTATATATATAATTATATATAATTATATATATAATTATATATATATAACTATATATATGTGTGTGTGTGATATCATATAGATATACACGTAGAGATTTAAAATTTAGATATATAGAGATATAGGGATATATAGATATGAATACACCTGTTCATAATTGTTCATATATAATTACACACAAACTTGAAAATGAACAAATACAAACATATATACACATGTGATCCCATATGTATAAATTGTGTTTCTAGATGTGTGTCGCATAAAATCCCGTTGCTTCAGTTGTTACCCGGCCATGGGGCTTGCCGGGCTTGCTGGCGCCTCGGCACCTGAAGCTGAAAGTGCAGGTCAAGTCCTGTGGTCGCGATGCGACTTGCGGGTGATGGGTGATCGATATTGACGGATGATCTGGTTTTATCTGGGGAACCAAGTCGTTTCTCCGAAAACTGGTTTTATTGTTCTTGCCAGCTGTCTCATAGTTTTCATAGACTGTTTTTGAAATGTGTCGAATGGGCTTCATAGAAACTTTATATTGAAAGCTCTGATCTTTAAATCAAACGAATTGATTTATTTTTGGAGGTCCACGATTTGACCCTAACTGGTGTGACCCCGGCTGCAGGTCGATCCCACAATCCATCCTTAGCATCCTCTGGCGGTGGCTCATAGGGAGGGCATGTCTGCAAATGACGCCTGGGCAAAATCGTGAGATCCCACGGGCAATCCAATGATCCCAACCAGAGATTCTAGCAGTCTACCCTCTGGTAATTTAACGTAGCTATTGAAAATGACCATTTATAGTGGATTTTCCCATTAAAAATGGTGATTTTCAATAGCTATGTTAAATTACCAGAGGGTACCTATGATATTCAAGCTGGCAGTCTACAATTAATTGATATGATTACCGTGCATTGGATGCCTTCTGATCCAGTGACACATCAAAATTGCAATTTGTGGTTCCCCTTTTTCTTGCTGGGGTTTCACCAATCGCGGGCATTGGATGCCATTGGGAGATCACCAGCCGTAGCTTGGCCTTCTGTGACCTACCAATGTGTTGTGGCGCCGTTTTGCCAGGTGACTTTGGAGGCCCAATGCCCTGCAAACCTGAAGTCGGACAGCATGAGAGTCTCATTTTTTTATGTGCTGTGCCATGTTCAAGTTACCCCGGATTTGTGGACATTTGTGGACTATGCCGCTATGCCCTAGAATTTACCATAAATCACTGACCTGAATTGAGGTATATTAATGTCTATTAAGGCCATTTGGGGATGGTGATTATATTCAGTTCTTCCAGTGACCTAACCATCATTCCAGTGACCTCGTTATTGGATCATCCCACCAGGGTGAAAATATCCTGTGATCGATGGCCCAATCATGTCATGAACAAAAAACAAAACGTGCCCAGGTGAGTTGGATTTCTCCAGAATTCGTGGCAACTTCAGTGAAATATGATGATCTATGATGATCTATATATATATTATATATTATATATATTATATATGTGTGTATACATATTTACACATATTTTTTAAACAACAACATTTGGCAAACCCAATAGTAACATGTTATGAGTATACCTTCTTTGGGGCAAGGTGTTCATCATCCACATGCCAAAATT